TTTTTGTATAGTAATTCATTTTAAGATAAACAAAATGCTTATTAAAATCCAAAGAAAGTCTCAAAACAGTCTTACTCTTCGGAAGTATGATACATACTCAAGTTTACTGTCAAGTTGGAAACTGTTTTTAGACTGTTTAGTTTGTTGTTAAAATAAATTAATCTTGACCCTCACGTAAAAAAAAGTTATAACATTGTGTCATTGTCTGAGGTGCTAAAACTTGCTGCTGGAGGTGTTTGTCGGTCCACAGTCAAGTGGTATCACATCCAGGGGCTCAGAAACCTACCCTACAGTGAAGGCCTCAGAAGCAAAAGTTCTCTGACCTTCCCTTGTCCTCCTGCCTCTTGCTCCCATTTTCCCTGAGGCTCGCCGTAGAAACCAGACTCCCTCTTCCACAACGGAGTTCATAAAAGCTAGAATCCTTTTTTCCCCAAAGCCTGCCATAAAACCTAACATTATTCTATGTAAAAACTGGCCATCAAGTAATGATCTGACCTACTTTGTTTTACTGTAAAACCCCCTTTCCAGAACCGGCCCTGCCCCACACCCAGAGGAGGGAGCACACAGCAGAGGCCAGACAGGATCTAGAGAGAAAGGCCGTGCTGGGTTCCACCACTCCCCTGTGAGCACGAGATTGATTATTCCCTTTCTGTCCAATCTACTTCTACTCAGCATTAATGGTGAGATAAAAAAATTCAACATTAAAATGTCACATACTGTATGCTTATACGACACTCTGAAAATGACAAAATTGCAGAGATGTAGAAGACATTAGTGGTCTCCAGGAGTTGGAGGTACTGGGGAGTGGGTCAGAACGGGAGGGCAGGCTGTGACTATAAAGGATGAGCAAGGTCTCAGAGTGACACACAGTTCTGTGTCTTGGTTGCAGTGGTGACAACACAAATCTACACGTGACAAAACTACACAGAACTAAGCACACACGCATGGTACCAATGTCAAATTCTTCCTCTTGAGAGTGTGTATAAGTCTATAAGATGTAACTTTAGAGGAAGTTGAGTGAAGGGGACAAAGAATCTCTATATTATTCTTGTAAATATTGGTGAATCTATTATAATATCAAAATAAAAAGTTAAAAAAGCATATTTAGCAAATTATCAGTATATTTTTTCAAGGGGTCATTATACCATGCTCACTAATGTTATGTATATTGGGAAATTCTCAGAATAAATATAAAATTAAAAAAAAAACAGCCAAGCAATGGGCCAGACCTGGGGTTGGAGGTCCCTTGGAGCCACCAGTGGACACAGTGGCCCCTGACTTCAGACCTGGCCTTGGAGGAGTCCTTTCCTGTCACTTTCCACACTGCGATCACATGGCCTAGGCCAGCAGCTCACCCGGGATC